CCCATCTGGGTGTGTTTCCTTTCAACTTCCATGGGGTGGTGTACAGAGGCCAAATGCCAAAACAGTTATCCTTGTTCCAATATTTATGGTCCTGACTGTATTTCATCCATTGGTCAACTTCTTACGTCAACATATGCTCAAGGATCTCCAAAAAGCTATTAATATTCTTGCATAAGAGTAACTTCTGGATATTAGCCAGATCAATTGGCAAAAGGCTGTAGCATTTGCTAACTGTTAGGCTGAGAGTAGTTCCTTCTCCTGTTTCATCTCTGGGTTAAACAGGGTTCCAGATTTCAAAACTTTGGGTGATGAAATCTGCCTGCCCTACTTAGCCCCTTTGTTCTCACTGAACCTCTTGATATGAAGACCCCATCTTCAACATACCAGAAATGTTGAGTATACTTATATGAAGAACCAGAAGGAAACTACCTGAGTACTGGGGATTCCAAGAAATGAACAAACAATTCAATTGACCAGTTTGCCCAACCTGATGCTGTCCAGATCTTTGGACTTCCATTATACCAGCCATGAAGAAGGCTGGGAACTTCTGTGGGATTGCAACACGTTGGGTAAAGCTGCAATAGAAAAATGTCTGTAGATAAAAGGCAAACCCATTCTTCATTTTCAGCAACATTTGTCTATGTCGGCTTTGTCTTCTACCCAGCAGCCACAGAATGAAATGAGTATCTGCCATTCTGGTCAAGAATGGCAGTGCTCCAGTAGCATAAATGTGTGATTTTCTATGGAACATAAACACCAGCAAAATTCATCAAAAATCAGTCATAATCATGTTGATTCATGGAAGAAAGAGGATCCAGAATCCATATCTTTATTTGAATTAACTAAAGTGAGAGAATGTATAAGCTTTCAAGCTCTATAAGATTCTCCATCAGGCAAGATTTTATGAAAAGAAGGTGATGGGGAAGTAGTAAGTTCAGTAATTAAACCACATCTTTCAGCTGCGCAATCTGAAGTTCAGAGTCAGTAGCATGATGGAGATTGTGGATACAATGCATTAGATTCTGTGGGTGTTGTTACTGTCTGATAACTCCTAGAATTTAAATACAAAAAAAAATGGTTCTTCCCCAGCTGTAGAAACCCAAGTCCTTTAAGTCCTCAATCTGTCTCATGGCTCCAAGCATTTGGTCGGTCATAGAGCAGAATTTTTTAATAATACCGTTATGTCAACAATGTTAGAGAATCGTTTTGGTTGGTGTACTGAATAAGGTTGCGTTTGCACAACACACTTAATCAGAGCAGCTGAAGACCTAGTGATACATTCACATAATACAGTAAGGCTGAAATAGAAGAACCAATGGTATAATTCTACCCTTAGTGTGGCAGATAAACAGTGCTGGTCTCCTTGGGTTCAGTGAAGCTAAGGACAAAATTAGACTTCAGCCCAAGATATTCAGAAGTGCTAGAGTTTTGAAGATAACTAGGCAAAGGAGGAAAATTTTCAGTTTTTAAGAGAATGACAAATTATGATTTATATCACATGAGCCTGTCTCACATGGCATAAGGAACCCCTTTCAAAGATGATCTTTTCAGTTTTTGATTTTGTATATGATTAATAGTCAAGTGCTTTATCTGCTCTTTCATCCATGCATTTGTTCACTCATTAGATGAAATCGTGCCTTTTCTCAAAAATTCAGGCATAAACATACCATTCTCTTCACCAGTTTTTCTCCTCAGTGACAAACTTGTAACTGTGGTGGGCCCAAAGTCCAGCTAGCTATGGCTACACTTGAAAAACTGGGTCTTTCCCATCCTTTTCCAATAGTTTAATTCTGATACCTTAGTGACTTCCTTTTTATATACATTTCCTTTATATTTTTACTTACATTCCACTGTGTTCTACCAGTTTTTAGAACTGGTTTCCAGAAAGGATATGGTAGACAGTACTGCTCTTGACTTTGTACAAAGGGGTTATGGGTTCAAATTCAGTGTAACTGCAAACTTTCAAGTTAGGTAATTAATTGTATATATTGTTTGTGTAACAAATTGGTGGTCACCCTGGAGTCTCTCTGGCAGATTTTCCCCTGGACCTTCACCAACATTTTTGCATTATGGTAGTTCCAGAAAAGTGTAATGCCATCACAGACAGATGTAATAGAATCACCTGCCATAGAGTTTGCACATCCATGCAGAACAGATTATGCTCCTTTAACAAACTGGTTTTTAATGTGATATCATGTGCATTTAAAAAAAAATTGTCTGATGCAGTACTCAGAATAAAAACCAATGTGGAATAAAAGACAGTAAAAACAGGATAACATTTTTATCAAGAGTTATGCACAAGATTGTTGCCAATTATTTCCAAGGAGATCGTGTATTAATAGCCAGATATTCTAAGAGGAGAGCCGTGTTAGTGTATGGCAGCCAAAAATCAGGAGGAGTCTGTGGCACCTTTCCAGACTAACACACTTTATTGAAAAGGGATAAGTTTTCATGTACAGCAGTTCACAAAAGCTTCTGCCTCTTAATACAATTGGTCAGCTTGAAAAGGTACCACTAGACTCCTTCTAATCATTAATAGCTAGATTAATACACTTTTTAAAAATGCCCACTTGTGTAATATTCCAGTTCTACAGACATCAACTACTGATAGTGTTTACGAAGAGCCCCAATAGCTTAGGCTTAATGTCTAAGTCATGAATCATGGTTTAAAAACCACAGGAACGGAGGTCATACAACCTACCATGGTTTGTTTTGGTTTGGCTTAGCATATTGCATGAAAATTTGGCTTTATGTAAGCAGCTAGATAAATGGTATGTATAAATAAATAAATAGGAACCCACACCTCTTCTTCCATGCTCAGTTCTTACAGATGTAAATAAAAATGGTTGTGATTGTCCCAATCTACATTAAAAAATATATTTGCATTGCATTGCAATTGGGGTGGCTGGCAGTAACCCAGAATCTGGGGTCAGTCCTGTACCAGGCACTGTTGGAAGGAGTCCATTCCAACATGATAGTGCTTACAAAGAGCCCCAGTAGCTTAGGTTTAACATCTAAGTCATGAATCATGGTTTAAAGAACACAGGAACTGAGGTCATGCAACCTACCATGGGGGAGCTAGGGTGAAGGAAGAACTCTGAAGTTAAGCTGATTTATTGGATTCCATTTTGAAACAATTTCCTTTTTTTTAAAGGGCGCAGCAGTTGGACTCCTTTATGTTGGTGCGCATGTTCTCAACGCTTACAAGGAATACGAACATTTTCTTCAGGACCCAAATGCATTCTTGCCAGCCATCGTTATCATTGGCACTGCTGTGGTCATGCTGGTCATCGGCTTGGTTGGCTGCTGTGCCACCCTTCGTGAATCCAAGATTGGACTGGGAGTGGTAAGGATAGGGCCTGGCAGTGGTAGTCCCATCCATCATAAGACCTTTGCATGAAGGTAGAGGCCAATGAATTCATTCCATTCCCACTGTCTCCATCCCTGAACTCTTGTGGTTGAAGGGACTTTCTAGCAAATGATAAATAGAGATTCAAATAATCCAGAAATCCCCAAAGCTTGTCAACTACTTTGAAGGTTATTTCCATCAGGCCAACAGGCCTCTAAAAAAAACTTACAGTATGTTTTCAGTGTGGAATGAATGAGAAATATACCACTTTAAGGATGGTTGCTTTCTCTTGAAATGTCTACTGCTGTTTCAATACCTGGGTTTTTTTTCCTGGCCTAGCCAGTGTTTTATAGCATGTTGAAAGGTCGCATTCTTTCTATTCTTGACATAATTGATCATTAAATGAAGGGTGCCAATAAACTAAATCTCCCTCTCAGATCTCTAAAAAAAGGCCAAATCAACTATATAGTTTGATAAAAGAGCATTTGTACCACACACGTATTTCTGCCATTGCTCCCTCAGCTTTGCACCTTTTCAGACATGATGTCGGAATTGTCCATATTCATGATCAATCATATATTGTAATAATATAGTTATTTAGCTAGAGCATGGAGTGATGAAGCTTGGTTAATTTTTAACTTGGTTAGGAGTTTTGTGACTTCATTAGTTTACAGTTGTGATTTTCAGTATGATGGAAATTCAGAAAACCATTTAATTCAGGAACCAAGTAAATAAGTTGTTGAAACCCAATATGTGTAATCTCCTTTGGAGATCCATTTTAGGTCCCAAAGGCAGGATGTACATGGCTTTCGATGTACTGTCCCATGAATTTCCACAGTCCAAATTCAACATGCAGTATTCTGGTCATAGAGACAAAGGTAGTGATTGTAGGTTACCAGCTTCCCTCTCCTTATCCTGGCTGTTGATTTTCACATTTGTGAGTCATAGCTTCCCTGGAAAACATGAGCTGAACAAAACAGTGGAACATCTGACTTAAGATAAGTGTGCTATGGATAAGCCCAAACATTTTCCAGGCATGATATCAATATTAGATGCCATGAAGTAACATGTAGAGGAGAACTCTTAATGAAAAAAATTGTCTTAACCAGCCTTTCCCAACCTGCCGCTGTTCAGATTCATTGGATTACGGTTCCTGTAATCAGCCAGCCAGCCTGGTGGTTAAAGGTATGTCCAAAACATCTGGACGTAATCAGGTTGGGGAAGGTGGACCTAAACAGTGGGCCCAGAAAAAGCTGTAAGGGAGAACACATCTTGAAAAAGGGTGGATCTTACCACAAAGCAGCCAAATCTTCCAGAGGCTGGTCTTTGTTGGCAACACCTGGAGAAGACCACATGCCTCTCCACTTCTCAAGTCCTCTTCTTTCTTCCTTCAGTTCCTGGTCATCATCCTGCTGATCTTCATTGCAGAAATGGCAAGCATTGTGCTTGGATTTATTTACAAAGGAAAGGTGAGTGAAAATATCTAAAGATCATCCAGCTAATGATAAAACTAGGTAATTTGACATCCCGGCCTTCATAAGTTACAGGAGGGAGCATCTCCTTTGGACAGCAATGTGCAGTACTTGGGAACGAACACAATTTTTTTGTAAAATACTGTAGTCTAGTAGTTGATAAAGTAAAAGTAAGATGAATATCATTAACCAATGATAATAAAAAATCTGTGCTATTCTTTCTTGCCACAGATAAAAACTGAATTACATGAACCTATGTCAAAATCATTTGCAGCCTACAATGGAAAAACAGAAGACTCTCATCTTGTAGACCTCTTGCAACAGGAGGTAAGAAAACTCTGATTTTTGGCTAGCATTTGTGTCACAATTTCTAATATAATGACATTGGTTCTGGAAATATGAAGGTATTTTTCTTCTGCCATATATTATCCTGGTTGCAGTTTCCCTAGTCTGGTGCTGGTTTCTTTTTTAAGGAGAGAAAAGTGGATTTTGAATATGATTTGGGATAAAAATGCACATTTTAAAAAAAATTATTGAACTGTGAACAACGAACATTATAAATAATAGAGGACATAAATCTGTGATCCCTAGATAAAATAAAAATAATAAATCCACTAAAAAGCGTGTAGAGACAGTGATATACACATCGATACTTGCCATATGTCAAAAGCATTGCTGATAGTAGCTTTGTTGCAGTTAAGATAAAATATAAAGTCCACTCAGGTAGAATAGAATTGTCATTCCTGACACTGATGTTTTGTTATTTTGACTTTATCTGTAATATTTCCTAAAGTGATGATTGAAGAAGCTTTGTTAATCTCCGTCTCCAAAAGATACATAAAGATTGGGCAATAGCCCGAAACAGACGAGATGTTGTAGTTCACAAGCAGATCATCTCCACTGCAACCAGAAGACCCCAGTGCAGGAGTGACCATGGGGGGGAATAAGAAAATCAAGATGGTAGCCATGATGCATATCAAAACCAGTTGGGCCTTTGATCTCATGGTTGTAGCTGTCATCCTGACTTTTTTGACCCACTTCTCCAGATGCTCCTACATTTGTACAGTGTATGGGGTGGCAAAGCACTATTTGGAAAAATGCCTTTAGTCCTGCTAGGTAGGTAGGTAGGTAGGAAGGAAGGAAGGAAGGAAGGAAGGAAGGAAGGAAGGAAGGAAGGAAGGAAGGAAGGACTATTGCAATCAAAGACACAGTTTAAATACAGCTTCATGACAAAGATAGAGCTCAGGAGAAAGATTAATGTTTCCAGGCAAAGTATACAACATAAGAAAAAGTAAACTATCATAATACTGTATAAGGATAGAAATATTAGATTATAGGAGAAGATCTAAAATACTTAAAAGATATAAGGTTACAATATTACCTATTAAATAAATGCAATCCTGGGTTACTGGATGCTAAGCTACTCAAATGCAGATTTAATTGCTGCTGAAGCATTAGGACAATTGAGAAGTAACCTTAGATAAATATGGAACAAGATGAAGCCATTCATAAAAGCAGTTCCGATTCTGTCTGAAGTATCTCAAGTATGAGAAGTTGAATTACACAAGGGTTGTATAATCCTTGGACAAACTACAATTGTGGGTTTGCAGCATCTGGTTGACTTACCAGCGAAAAGGCAGAGAATGAGGCCACTGTCTTCTAGCTTTCCACAATGGATTGGCAAGAAAGGGCAGAAAGGTTAGATCTTCAGGCTGCAGTGAATACAAGGGACAATATAGAGGAAAATGGGCAGTTGATTCAGTTTCCCTGGAGTGCTGCTGAAGTGTCCTTCTAAAAGTTCAGATGATAACACCTGATCTTTAGCCCAGGTGGAAGCTCTCCAGTGGGATGAGCAAAATATCAGAAAGACGCAAGGCTGCCCCAAAGCATCTTTGCATATCATAGTGGTCTTTCTATAAATCTGTATCAAAGGCTCATTGTTTCATCTAGCTTACTCAAATATTGTGAAGAGAGGCCACTGGACATTAGGGCCACAATTCTCCCTTTAGACCATGTAGATGTGAAACAGAAGAAGAGGAGGAGGAGGAGGAGGAGGAGG